ATTTTTTTGTATTGCAATTTCTTTCTTAATCGATACTCTGAATTATTTTTGATAATTCAATTTGAAAATGGCACAATATTTTTTTCTCCGAAACGGCACTAATAACTTTTATAACTCACTACAATTTTTTTGTATTGCAATTTCTTTCTTAATCGATACTCTAAATTATTTTTGATAATTCAATACCGAGTATTATATTTTCCCAAAACAAAAACAAAATTTGTAAATCGTTAGACCAATGTCTAACAAGAGTGTACTATTATATTTTTAAAAATATTAATTTTAAATTTAAAATTAAAAAAAAAGTAAATTTGCCAAAAATAATTTCACCTTTCATTTATTTGCGAAAAATAGACATTTTCTAAAACTTCTGTTAAGTGGCCGTTAGTTTTTTAACGGCGGCCCAAAACTCGCACACATGCAGAAAGGTGGGATTATTTCCGATAACAGTGAAAAGTGAGATTATTTTTGAAAGAACGCGAAAATGTGAGATTATTTGAGATAATTTTTCTTAAAAACTTTACTTACCTTCTTTGGTGAGAACGGGGTATCATTCATTTCTTTTGCTATCTCTTTCTTTTTTTTCCTTGACTTTCTTATCATTTTCTATCAATCTAAATAATAATTTTCTCTCTATTTATTTTCTTTTTATTTTCTTAATTTTCATTTTTCCTTCATCCGAAGTCTAAACAAAGGGTTAATATCCTTAATAATAAGTAAAAAGTACTCCCTCCGTCCTAAAACTTTCTTTCCGTTGCACAAAACGAAGAAAAATCTCAAGTTTTTCCAATCTATTTTATTCAAATATTGGTATATAAATAAAAAATAAAACATACATATTTAAAAAGTACATCAAAAGTTCAACAAAACAAGTGGTGACAAGAATATTTTATTTTATCATATAGGCCATGAAAAACACAAATAAATATAAATTCCCGTGGAATTAGAATAGTGCTCTGAGAAAAAAATTTTAGGACGGAGGGAGTACTTGCAAAAGGGGAAAGAGAGGGAAGGAACATGGGAACGTGGGAAAGAATAATGGAAGACAGGCTAATGATGCGCGCTAAAGAAGAGACAGGCAATCCCTCGGTGTTCCATCGTATTTGATCCCATTATTCCATGATTCACATGGCCTGTCCCTTTCTTTGCCGGCCGCCCTTTTGTCGGGTTTCATAAATGTGAGGCAACCTACACTTTCACCATCCCAACCTATAAATGAAAAGAAAATAGTCTCCTCCCCCAATCTCTCCCCGATCTTTATTGTCGGTTGAGTCACCATAATTTACGTCCTTTCACGTTTTCGTCGGGTAGGGACTGAGGAGCGCAGCACCCGATGATATGAATCAGTTGAAAGACAGTAGCATCCCACTATTACAACTTCTATTATATTAATACAATCGTAGAATTTTACATTGATACTTTGTACCAACGTAAACCATCAAAATACTAGTCGTAATACAAAATTGTGAGGTACACTTGATATGATTCGCTGTAGAGTATTAGTTTACTCTCGAACCACTTTGTACTCCATTTTCTTACCCAAAAGAAAGGACCCTCCAAGCTCCACATGTGCATTACACACCCAACCCCCCTCCCTTGTTCATCTTTATCCATTCAAACCTTTGCCAACACATAGTTTGTCTTGACCCCACCACCTCTAAAACTGTGTTGCTGGCAACTCACTGTGCTAACACATTTAAGATTCAACCATACCTCTTTGCCTTCCATGGCTGGTTCACTCAGTCAATTGAAGTAGGACTAACTCCCAACTACCAATGCTATCTTTGTTGGTTCAGCTGTCCACAACCGTCCCTACTCTCTACTCTCTCTCTCTTTCAACTTAACACTAACATTCAATCAATTCATACAATATAAAAGAATATGTTTTTCTTGCATCCTTAATATCCCTTCTCTTCTTACCCAAAACCCAACTAGGAATTGAAGAAAGGCTAAGATGGGAATCAGGTCACTTCCTTTGTTCTGGGATGAATTCTCAAGATTCTTGGTGAATTGGTTCAGAAAAGATAAGAACTTTTTGGGCAGTCTCTTGAGTTCCCCAAGAATGAAAATGGAGAGGCCTTCTGTGAAGAAATTGAGACCATTAGAGAATGTGGATTGGAGAGAGGAGACCACTTTCCTGGATCTACCAGACTTGGCTCTGGACTGCATTCTTGAGAGGCTCTCACCATCAGATCTTCGCAGTATGGGTAAGGTCTGCAATTCACTGAGAGAGAAATGTGTGAGTGACCATTTGTGGGAAAAGCACATCTGTGAGAGATGGGGTAAGTTGATTGGGAAGGCTGCCTACAATGAATGGAAAAGCTACATTGCATCAAGAAAGAGGTCTCTCCTGCTGAATCCCAAAGATCAGAAGGATCTCTTTGGGTATTTTGCTAGTCTTACAAATTTCCTGTTGAATAGAGAAGCAGCAGAAGAAGGAAACAGATCCAAGAGCTCTTTACCTAAGGACTCAGTCATGGCTTTGTATTTCTCACTTGAAAGTGGCAAATTTTGGTTCCCAGCTCAGGTTTTTAACCGCGAGGTAATTGCCTAGTGCTTTATTAAATTGATTTGCAATATGTAAAAAAAACTGTTTTGTAGACTGTTCAGAGTTCATTGATTAATTTTTTTTCATTTTTTTTATAATTTGCAGAGTGGGCAACTTGGGTTTGCCCTATCATGTTATGATGCTGAAATCAACTATGACTCTAATGCAGATCTCTTCAGGGCAAGGTACAATGAAATCTCATCTCACACTTATGCTGTTCTAATCTTTTATCACTCCCCCTCTCACTATCTTTTATGCCCTACTTCCATTTGCTCTGTCCCAATTCAATATCAATAACACAATCCTGTTTTTTCCTAAATTGCTGTTATTATTCATTAATATTATATTATCTTGCTTGTTCACAAATGACAGGTATCTGACTAAAGGGTGGAGGTCCATAGAGGAAAGCATAAAGAGGGTGAGGATAAGGGCACCCCCTGTTGATACTCCTGCTTATGTTCTTCATGCCTCTGATTGCTTAAAGGACCTAAAACCAGATGACCACATTGAGATACAATGGAGAAAAAGCAAAGAATTTCCATATGGTATGTTAACCATTCAAAAATAGCCAATTCTCTTCATCATAAATTCCATATTGCAGTTCAAACAAACCATGTTCTAGTCATTGTCATGGTCTTGGATTAATATGCTCACTTACTCTCTTGAAGGACAATTTTGACATTTCCTAAGCATTTTACTGAGCCTTTGTTTGCCCATAGCTTTTTTCTAAAGAACATATGCTAAAGCTGGAAGTTTCATGATTTGCAGGTTGGTGGTATGGAGTTGTTGGTCATTTGGAATCATGCAGTGGCAACAAACTGAATTGCCAATGTCATACAAGTGGTGAGGACAATACCTTTAATGATATCCTTGGATCCAGGAAAATGATTGTGAAAGCAAAAAAACAAAAACAAAAAAAGAAAAGAAAGAACGAGGAAAATCATGTTCTTATGCTTGGATTTTACCTTGGGAAATGCTATGATTAATTTTTATACTTTAAAAATTATTTTTAGATTTGATATTCTCAAAAATTCTAAATAATAGAAACAAACAAATAGTACAAATATCTGAAGTAAACTTATCAGTCTATATGTTTTAGCTTATCTTTTATTTCTCCCCACATTTTCTTCCCTTCTAATTTTCCCATCTGTTTCTTCATATTTCCTTTCCCTAGCATTTTATGTGTTCCAAACTGACCCTGAATATTGAAAATATAACAGTTTCTTGTAATTCTAATAAGGTCACATCCCACCATATTTGTTGACAGATATGGTGATATTAGAGTTCAGGCAGTATTCACCTGGCTCAAGATGGAGACAGATAACAATTAACAAGAAGAATCATCAAGAAGTAGGGAATGAAGTAGATGGTTTCTATGGTGGAATAAGAAAGCTTTCCAAGGAAGAGGAGATCTCAACATGGAAGTCCTTTTGGCCAAGTTGCACTTTGGATTAACTACAACTTGAAAATTCTTCATTCCATTATTCAGTGCACAAGAAGGAATAACATTCCAAAGACTCATTTTTTTCCTTGTGCTTAGCTTCTTTTTCATAGACCTCTATCTGCTACTGTCCACTGTACAATCCTGAGACTATTTCTGATGGTAGCAGAGGTAAAATGAAAGAAACTAAAATCTCTGAGAAACCCAAAGATACACGCTGCAGATCACGGCAATGGATAATCAAGACTTCTGGAGGGGGCGCGGGGAAACACCGCGGAGCAGCTTGACAAAGCCCAAGAAACTGAGCTTTCCATCAGAATGTCTTATCCAGTCCTGCAGAACCACATGAACTGGGACTGAAGGACCGACTCCAAGCTCCTACAAGTATATATTTATATGTACACACACATACACAAACATGTCAGCCATCATGAGGCCTAGAGGATGAACAAATCATATATGTTGTGTTCCGTTTTCATCAATATATGTGTAAGTTGTTGAATATGTTGTGGCAAATGTTGTTAAAAACGCTTATTGCGCCTAACTCAGCTCTAAGAAGAGTTTCCAAGAGATTACCGAGGCAAGTTCATTGATAACAATAGGCCTGTTTCCATCTTTTTCAAAAAACTCATAGCCATGTCGAGCATGTTGTTCCCAACTTTGAATTCCTTCTAGCTGGTGGACGCTTATTGCTGCTGCACAGAACTCTTCAAAATCCATCTTCCTGTATTGGAGACAACTTACCTGAGCAGCATAAAGAACACACATTGGTCTTAGTCCTAGTCCCTAGGAGACCTCATCCAAGGAACGAATAAGAAGAAAAACACAAAGTCTGACCGTGTTAACGAATTCGAAGACCCTAGAATCCATCATTGCATCGGTTGAGTAAACTGCCAAGGCCTGCAAACCCGTGTTTCTTACATATTAGTCTAATGCTAAGACTTCATGGAATCCAGTATGAAACAGATGGAGATGCAGAAATGTAACCGTTTTGAAGTTTTGTAGCGATATACACCCATTTTTGCCTGGCCCTAATAATGTAAATTGTTCTTTGAGGTAAGCCAGTTGTGGTATTGTCAATGTCTTGACCAGAGCCTGTTACAGAAGAAGATTTAATAAGCAATATCAAAATCATAAAATTGCAGCAAAATATAAGAGTTTGAGAAGCCGAAACAAATACATACTCCCAATGCAGCTTTTCTTAGAGATGAGGAATGTATGTAGACTTTTACAAGCTTGTATATTGCCATGTCCAGAGGTATCTTCACATCATGATGACCAGCCAACCATGGATGACCTTGAACACATAAATGACATAACAAAGTTCAGAACTAAAAGGTAAATCCGATAGTAAGCACATAGCTCAAGGGTTGTTTTGAGAATGCTAAGGTTAAGGGGTTGAGTCTACGAATTGTCGCGTGTTCGTAGGGATTAAGGGCACGGATTTCCATACTTCAAGAGTTAAGTGTAAGTTCTTCTAATTTGATTATTGTTTAAGTAGCTTACATAGAGCCTGAGCTGCAGTTAGCCTCTTGCGGTAGTCCTTGTTCAGCAAGCTCTTTACAAAGTCTATTGAATCAGAGGACGAAGTCGTCCATGCGGCTTCATCAAAGCTTGGATCGATCTTGAGAATGGCCCGAAAGATTCCAGATTCAGTCCGTGCCCAGAACGGTCTGCTTCCACTTAGAATAATATAAGCAATAACGCCTACACTCCACATGTCAGCTTCTGTTCCATATGATCTATGTAAAACTTCAGGTGCTACATAATATGCACTCCCAACAATGTCATTTAGCTTCTCATCTGCAAAGATCTTCCATAGTTAAGGGTCTCTTTTATATAAATAGATATATACGGAGTAGTATATATATCCACATAACTTTCGGGCAAGCTTTACCTGGTTTTACATAATCAGAAAGTCCAAAGTCAATGGCCTTCAGAGGAGAATGCTCATCGTTTGATGTAAACAGAAAGTTCTGAAGCATAATTTATCAAGCAACTGTTAGTCCCAAAACAAGTGTAGTACCCGTTGTGAAAGGATTATTTGGATGAAATGGGATTGAATCTACTGAAATGTTTGAAAGGAAAGACATTTGATATCATCTGTTTCAGCCAAGCAAGTGAAAAAGGAAGTTATAACTGCCTAATCTCCTATAACAAGCATAGTACACTATTATTGCGACAAAACGTGTCTAAACATACCAAATGTTAAGGGTAGGAAGATGGGGATATTCATACCTCAGGCTTTAGATCACGGTGAACCACTCCCTGAAGATGACAGTACGATACAATGCGTAAAATCTGTACCATAACAGCTTTTGCTTCTTCTTCTGTATATTTTCCACCCCTTCATTCCCCCCAGAAAAAAATGATGTTAGTATGTTCACTAGCAGCAGTAGAGTGGACTAATGAGGGGAAAAAAGATATGCACCTAGAAAGAATCCTTTCCAGTAACTCTCCCCCTTTACATAATCTGTGGGTGAAGAAAAAATGATATTAAGCAGCTATTAACACTTAGCTAGTAGAGCAAAGATTTTGACAGAAATTGAAAGACAAGTTCTTGAAATGATCACATCCTTCTATACCCTTTTTTGTTGGGGGACAAGTAAAGCTATAAGTACTCCCTCCGTTAGAACGTAGGTTAGGGTAGAGGTTGCTCAACTAGATTATAAGACACTTGAGTCAAACCACAATAAACCTATATGGAATGATTTGATTAACACATGTCCAGAATAAGCTATCCACTTGAGACGCCTCAATTTGTAAGGGACGGGGTGAAATGGGGAAACAAATCCTTGAGATTAGCTTGTCTTCCTTTGATGGAAACAAGATCATATTCTCTTTAGAGGGTATTTTTGATAATTTCCAATAATATTTAATAATGTGGTAAGTGAACCATTAATTAGACACTTCAAAATAGAAAGTAGATAGTTAGATCAAGAGGGATGGAGTATTATTCTAGCAATAAGAGAAGCAAGGAAAATGGGAAATGGCCAAATAACTCACTAAAGAAACAAGTTAACATCAAGTAGGATCGAAACGTATATAGTTAAGAATCAAAATTATTGAACTTACTCCATTACAACATAAACGTTGTCCTCATCTTCATATGCATCATAGAAATGTACTAGGTTTCTATGCCCCGTTAAAGCACGTAGTATTCTCACTTCTCTCCGTACATCTTCAATAGCTATAGCTGTAGTCATCTGCGAGAAAAAAAACCATTCCCCATTAATTAAGAGTAAAATCCAGATGAACAAATGTAAGAAAACATCGAAAAGCTTAAAAAGACTTAACCTTTGCTTTCGGAATGACTTTAACTGCAACATCCATACCCTTCAAGCTCCCTCTCTTTCCCCTTGCAGAACAAGTATACCCAAAATGCCCCTTTCCAACTTCTTCCCCAAGCTCGTAGTGGCTTGCGAAATTCTTGGAAAACCCGAAACTCTTGTCCAATCCAATGTCAAACTCACTCCCTTCCAGGATAGTGGCCCCATTGGGCTTCACCGAACCGTGCCTCCTAGCAAGCAATGCCCTTATATGCTTTGCTGGTGAGGGTGGAGGGAAGGGCCTCTTGAGGAATCGCAGAGGGGTAGAGTTGGAAGGTGAATTCTTGAATGCACCGGACAGTGGACTGGGAGTGTAAAATGGGAACTTTGGAGTTTTCCCAGAATGAGTACCACTCAATGCATTATCTTTCTCCCTGGGAATTGTTGAGTCTTCACAGAATCTGTGTGGAGGTTCAAATGGTTTCCCATGGCAGACTCCCATTGGATCAGAAGGACCAAAAATTACAACTTCCCAAAGATCAGGGAGTGAAGAAACAAACTAAAGCAGGATTCTTGAGCATGTAAAGTGAAGAAAGACTGGAACTTTGATCAGAACCAAAGAAGAAAAATGGGTATATGAAGAAGAAAAGGCAGAAGGCGTGTCTGTCAAGATTCAAGAACCAGAAAATTTGATTTGAGTTAGTTGGAAAAGCGGAATGGAATGGGAGAGGATAGAATCCAGGCCAGTGATATATTAAAGCAACAAAAATTCAGGAAAAAGGTAAGCTGCTAATAAATAAGAAAGTAGGTAGCATAAAAAGAAAAAGAAGAAGAAGAAGAAGAAAGTAGAGCATTAGAATGGAACTGTCGCCAAGAAAAGGTGATGGAGTTAAGATGCTTCTTCATGGAGGTTAGAGCCAAGAAGCTGCCACAACTTCCTTCTTTTTTTTCTTTTTTGGAAATATTTGCACTAAATAACATTAAAACTTCATTTTTATAAGTAACACTTAAATTATTTTATTCTCTAAATAACATTAATAATGTTCAAAATGACAAATAATAATTAGTGATGGCAAACATTTACTTGAATATTGACTAATGAATAATGACTAAAAGTGTTATATTAGGAAAAAAACATATATGATGCTATTTAAGGAAAGTCATTATGTTTTAGTGCTATTTAGATAAATTCTTCTTTCTTTTTTTTCTTATCAAGATTTTTGCTTTAATTTCTCTAATGGGAAATGGATTATAAATGTCTCTAATTTATTCAAATGTAGTACAAATTGTCTATCTATTGGTCACTTGTTCTTTCTACTTTTTTCTTTAATTATGATATTTGTCTTAAATATTGACCAAATGCCAAAAAACAATCACCAAATGAAAAAAAATCTATGAATGTGATCGAGTATGGTATTTTTATAGGGCAATTTGGTCTTGTCTTTTAGGTTTTGTTTGTGAACAACGTTTCCAATTAGCGTTAGCGTTTTAGATAAAATTTTAATAGTGTAGATTAATTCTAAAAATGTTAACGCTAAAGGCTACCGTCGGATAGCCTTTTCAAAACGTTAACAATAATCTCTAATGTTGATGCTAACGAGACCTTAGTTGATAATTGATATATTGTGAGATAGATTATTACGATGATATATATATATATGTATATATATGCATACATACATACATACATACATACATACATACATACATACATATATATATATATATACTCCCTCCGTCCCACTGTTTTTGTCTACTTACCTTTTGGCACACCATCCAATGCACTTCTTTAATCCATTTTATCTTGTAATTTGTATATTAAAAAATTATAGAAATTATATATTAATAATTTATATGTTAAGACAAATCAAACAAGATCACACATGACTATATTTAGGCTTACACATTGAGAGAATTTGATGAGTCAAAGTGCTTAGATGAACAGTTCCAAAAATCAAAAGTGGACAAAGACACTGAGACAGAGGTAGTATATATATATATATATATATATATATATATAGAAAAAAAGGAAGTAGAAAAAAGTACAAGAATGCTCTAATGTCCCAATTAATAATTGATTTGGTTGTCCTTCTAAAATAGGTATCTCATAAATATTTGGAATAAGTTTGACATGCATTGATGGCAAATACTATTATGCATTGTTGCTCATTTTTTTTGAAAGCCAATAAGTGAAGAAATAATTACAAGCGACCCAAAACAAGGAAGTGGGTTGTTAAATTCGAAAAAATAAATTCTTTTGAGTAGTCCAAAAAATAGTACTCCGTATTACTTTATGGTATATGAAAAAGATTTAAATTACTCCCTTGTCCCTAAAAACATTGGAGGTTTTGTTTCTTTAAAAATTTAAGCGAGTGTATATATATTTTGATGTTAAGTTTTTAAAAATGTCTTTGAATTGATGAGTAAAAATACGATTTGATGGTATGATTAATAATGAACAGATGTAATGTGATAGAATTGTTAAGTAAGGATAAAAGTGATTATTAATGAAAATGAGAATTTTAATAGATGTAATTCTTTGACTGTTACTATTGACATTTATACATAAATATATTTTATAAAATTTCAATATTTCAAAACTACATTTCCTATGTTCATGGTTACATTCATATTAAAATACAATATATTTTTTCCGCATATCGAGGTCATAGATAAAAAACTTTAATCAAGAAAATCAAATGAAGAGATTAAAATCTGGACGAAAGCAGTACTAATTTTATTTAATTTATGCATTCATTATCTATGCTTAATACAAGTAATTTTTTCATGGAAATTTAAAAATGAAATTGTTGGGAGTACTTTTTTTATTTTAAAAAATCAATGTGAGGGGAGTACTTTTTTTCCGTACGTAAGGAATCGTTCACAAACACAAAAAGAGATAATTAAATGGAAAGAGATAAATGGTGTGTAAATTATGGAGGCTTTTATGAGATCGAATTTATTCCATTTGGAATATATTCCACTTATCCTCTTCACATGCATTTCGCAAGAGAATAAGTGAATAACCCCTTTTCAAAGACATTTTACGAGTGCTATTCTTCCGTAAGGTTGAAGATACATCCATACTACATCCCTCCTATTTGTTTCCACGTTGTTTATAAGTTTGAGCGTGTGTGTCTATATATATATATATATATATATATATATATATATATATATATATATATATATATATATATATATATATATATG